GGGGGGGGGGCGAGGGGGGCGGCGAGCCAGCCAGGATCCCGTCCTCCAGCCGCCATGGGCAGCAGGGCGCCCTTGCCGAGCGGGGAGAGAGCCCGGGTGAGCTAGGAATTCTGAGGGCTTGTCCAACTCTTAGCACTAGGAGGGCACAGGTGCAGTGGACGGCGGAGTGGTGTTTGCCAGCGCGTTTTGATCGGCCTCTTAGCCCTCTGAGCCTCCATAGTCCTGTCTCTAGAATGGGGATCATGGCTGCCCTGTCTGGTAGAAGCGTCTAGAAGAATGTGGGTTTGGCCCAGGGGGGCTGGGGGTGTGGCTGGCGGAGCAGGCGGTGCGGCGCGGCTCCGTGGGGCTCGCAGCCCAAGGCCTGTGTGGGGAGGCACCTGGGATTCATCGTCAGCCAACAGGTGTTAGGTCAGCTGTGCAGCGAGAACCTTGTCTGTTCTTGGCTCTGCAGCAGCGGGGCTGATGGGGCTGAGTGGGGCGGTCACCTGGCTGCTGCCTGGGCACGTCCTTGCTCCTCCTGGAACCCACCGCCTCTGGGCTTGAGGCTGCAAACCCCAAAGCAGCAGCTGTTGTTTTGGTAGAAAGGCTGCCTGGATGTCCTCATGAAGCCAGAAGATACAAGTGATTCTTCCCCCACCAAACAGAAAAGCTCCTTCTGTGTCTTGGTTTCAGTTTCCCTCTTCTCCCAGAGGCCAAGGTGCACATGTGCCCCACACACACACCCACAGCCCTGTGCTGGGACTTGAGGGCACCAGAGCTTGGCTCCCAGCAGAGAGAGATTCTCGGGGTACTGGCAGGTGGTGCTCTCAGCTGCTCTCAGCTCCGTGTTTGCAGGCGAGAGGGGAAGCCCCACCTGCTCTGAGTCAGAACACAGCATATCTGCAGCTTCGACTTGGGAGGTGCCGCCCTACAGGGTCCCTGGCGATGGTGCCCGACCCTGGGAAGGACGCCGCTGCTGGGTTCTTTCAGGCCGGTCTTGGTGTCCCTGAGGTTCCGCTTCTGGGACTCTGGTTCCTGGATCAGGTGTGCAAACCCTGGGCTGAAGGACGAGGAGACAGGGCTGTGTGGGCCTCCGCTCTCCTTCCTCCCCATTTTGCCAGTTCAGACAGATAAGGTTTCCTGTGAGCGGGAGGGAGGCCCCGGCCCGCCGCCCTCCCCCTAGGGCCTTCGCTTGCTCTCATGCGGAGCAGGGAGGTGGGTGCCGGTGGCCTTGCTGACAGCCGTGAATCTCTCTCCATCCCCCAGGAGAGAGGCCATACAAATGCCAGACCTGCGAGCGAACCTTCACCTTGAAGCACAGCCTGGTTCGCCACCAGCGGGTCCACCAGAAAGCCCGCCACCCCAAGCAGCACGGGAAGGACAGCGACAAGGAGGAACGAGGCGAGGAGGACAGCGAGAGCGAGTCCACCCACAGCGGCACCAACCCCGTGTCGGAGAGCGAGGCGGACTCGGCCCTGCTCGCCAGCAACCACGTGGCCGTCACCCGCAGCCGGAAGGAGAGCCTGGCCCCCAAGGGTGCCAGCCGCAGGGAGGAGAGGGCGACGGGCCGGACGGCGGGAGCCGGCCAGGCTGAGGCCAGCAGGAGTGCTCCCAGGGCCGCTGCCACGGGCAGCCCCAAGGAGCAGGCGTCCCCGGGTGACCCTGAGCGGGAGAGCCCGGTGGCCCTCGTGCAGGACCTGCTGGAGCTGCCCGGCAGGAGGCCCGGCCCCCCCCTCCTGGCCGCTGCCGACAGCGCCTCGCTCCTGGGCCTGGAATGACAGCCCATCCTGCCCCCCAGCACACAGACGAAAGCCAGCAGAGCAAAATGTCCTGAGTCTATATTTCCCGAGGTTTCCTCAGTGCCCTTCAGCTCTCCGGGTGGGGGAGGGAGGGGGAGGGGGGTGGGGAGAGAGGC